TTCCCAGATCTTTCTAGAACTCATTACGTGTTACCAGAGTCACGTGACTTCCGCTGTCGTAACAGTATTTTATGTTAAAGGAAGATTGAGGATATATTATGTTATAGTATGATATTTTTTAAATTCCGGATCGAATGACACGATATCTATAGATGTGTTTTAAGACAATGTTTTATTAAGATAGCTGGCTGATATGACAGCAGATGTTTGGTTTTTACGTATATAGTTGTTGTGTGAGATAAAATTCTCCGTTTTTCATGTTGAGACATGTTACTTAAGGTTGCAAGTTCTTTTGTCAAAATAATAATAATAATAGTTTATTCGAATGTCTTTATAGAAGATGGAGTTCCAGAAAAGCATCGAAAATCTCATCTTTTATATTTATTTATCACTTACATGAGTTACATGAGCAATATAAGGTGTATGAGTTGCGTAAGCTATATAAGATGCACGAGTTATGTAAACTATATAAGGTGCACGAGTTACGTGACCTGTATAATGTGTATGAGTTACGTGAGCTATATAAGATGCACGAGTTACGTAAACTATATAAGGTGCACGAGTTACGTGAGCTGTATAAGGTGCACGAGTTACGTGAGCTATATAAGGTGCACGAGTTACGTGAGTTATATAAGGTGCATAAGTTACATGAGTTATATAAGGTGTATGAGTTACCTGAATTATATAAATTACACAAGATACGTGATATATATAAGATGCACGAGTTACGTGAGTTATATAAGGTGCATAAGTTACCCGAGCTATACAAGTTACACGAGTTACATAAGGTGCATGAGTTACGTGAGCTATATAAGATGCACGAGTTACGTGAGTTATATAAGGTGCATGAGTTACGTGAGCTACATAAGGTGCATGAGTTATGTAGTTATGTACAAACAACACTAAGAGAAATCTCTAGTAAAGAAGGCTATATTAGAGAAACATCACAAATAACTCAGTGGTTTAGTGATAGCTGATCACAAAATTATTTAAAATGGATATGATCGTTTTGACCTGACCTTGTTCTCCGTGATGAGACGAAACATGAAGTGTCCAGGACGATGAATCAGTCCACATGGAACGTTCCACTTTCCATAGGTAGAATACTGAGGAACAATATGTCTCGCTAATTCTTTCGGCCCATCTTTTATATCTTGCAGGAGCTGTATGAAGAGGGCGTTGCTACTGTTGTATGGAAGTTTGTAAGTTAATAGCAAATCTCCAGAAAGTGCCACATATTTATCTGATGTATATAATCCGTATCCTGTGACACCTGCAACCAAAGATTCTGTGATACTGGTGGCGTAAGAACAACATAACTTGCTTTATACATAGTATTTTCTAAATAGACTGGTTTCCTTATATATAATAATGGTACATATCACCGTATTTTCTAAATAAACTGGCTTCGTTATATATAATAATAGTACATATCACCGTATTGTCTAAATAGCCTGGTTTCCTTATATATATAATAATGGTACATATCACCGTATTTTCTAAATAGACTGGATTCGTTATGTATAAAAGATATTTCCAACTTCGCCAGTATACATAAACTTAACACCGGCAGACGATAGCCCTAAAATCAAAATTCAAATACTAAACTAACTCATTCATATGACAACCCTAAATCCAAAACAGATTGTAACCTTCGCCTTTGGGTAGTGGGTTTATAGAATATCTGGGTGGGAAATTCCAAAACATTGAATCGGTCACACCTAACATAACAAGTAAGGAAAATACTTTTCAAAAAAGGAAGGAAATGGAGGGATGGCTAATATCAATCTTTCAAAAACAATGCAAACAAGATAGTAAGGATGGCATTTGCATTATCCCTACATAATACCATAAGTACACAGTGTAGTAGAATGTTAAGAGACAAAAATAGGATACATTAAACTCAATTGTGATTGAATAGTTATATATACTAGCAGAAATATCCGCCCTTCGGGCATTTATGAATGCTTGTTTCAGCGGAAGGCTATTGGGCCTGAGGCCTTTTCTGGAATTGTCTGACAGCTCTACAACAATGTACTCGGACTTGAGAAAAAGGATTTTATTGACATTTTAGTTTACAAATGAGTTATCGTCACAGCATTACATCACAGAGTAGATTTTATTAAATTATTTCTTTGTAGACAAAGTTATCAATGAAAGTACCTTGCTTTTCTGTTGCAACATTCATGAGATTTTATTTAAAAAAACAAATAATTTTTTTAAGTTTGTTTTTTGATTGTTTTATATTTGAAACTTACTCCTTTTTGTTTGTAATTTTTACTGGTTAAATCTGAAACATCATTTCTGTGGAAATTTCAATTGTTTTATTTATTGCTCAGCTATAAAAATATTACCCAGTTATGATTGGTGATGATCGGTGCGGTAGTTTCCGAAATCCGAGTTTTGGACGTATGCATCGCAAGCTCCATTATAATAAGATTGCTATATGTGAATTTTTGCCTGTGCTATAATGCACTGATGATGTAAATGCCATCCTTACTATCTTGTTTGCATCGTTTTTGAAGGATTGATATTTGCCATCCCTACATTTACTTCCTTTTATGAAAAGTTTTTTTTCTTTACTTGTTTTTTAATGCAGTGTTTCAATAGACATAGGAAGGTTGTATTTATATCTAAGTTCTAAATACAATGACGTTCTAAATGTAACATTGATTGTCTATCTATTACAGGTTGGTAATTCCTGTTTCACCCTGTATGTAAACTTTTAAAGAAACACCAACTTTCAGTAAGAAAGCTAACTTCAAGGGGTGATGATAACATCGTTTACACTAGAATTATGATTACTTAAATTATTACTAGTTATTAATAATACTTATAGAAACGGATACTCCGTTTGAAACTACGTTATCTCAGTGAAATTGGTTTACAGAATTATTTTGGTTTTTGAGTTATCAAGTATTAAAAAAAGAAGAACAAGAAATTCAAACTCTTTGCTGTGATATTTACAGACATTTCCAGAACTTGTGACTCAGTCATTAGATAGATAATGTTATAAAAGAAAACACTGTTTAGTATTGTAAAGTTCTGATGACCTATTGAGGAGATATTTAAAATATCATTTAGATGAACAATCCGAGCCACCCCTACATAGGCAGTGCTGCCACCTGCCTAATACTGCTAAAACAATGCCTTAGCCGTCTGACACAAATTTTCGACAATGTTTAATAAATTAGTATCTAACACTCAATGCGGCCACATGCGGTATACGCCATCTATAATGTCTGTGCAGCGTGCTTTCCTTAAATTTGGGTACTTTAGAAAGGCTGGAACCATTTTTTCTGTATGTGAATCTACAACCTAGACAATTGCTGACAATTGCTTTACTCAATCTACAAATGATGGCTAAATATTGGCTACTTTATCAGTCTTCCTGTAGTTGTTTCGTCCCTTTGTGTGGGATTGTTCATGAAGGAGTATTATGATCAATGTGGGATTTATTGTGCGTAATGGGAACGGAATATATCTTTACACAGATGCTCATAGGTAATCGATATCGCTGTGAGTTTACTGCAGGTGATTTTTGGCACTTTTTTTACAATTCCAACAGGTCATTATTGTGTGATTTAATCGTTTCAAAATACTTTGCTACTAAGTTACCAACAACAATGAATTATTTTATACACTGATCCGGTATTATAATTATTATATATATACTTAACTTTTCCACATTTCTATAAACCTAAAATCTTTTCTCTTTCACACGGGTTTGTTCCACATTACATATTTACATATCTGATATGTAGCTGCATTTGAGTTTCATTGCAGAATACAAGGGGTGTCCAGATACTTTTGGAAGAGCTGTGTAATAACAAATCTTAAATAATTACCCATGACATCTAATATTCACCCACGTTAGGTCATCTTTGTACTTGGTGAAGTAAAAACTTGGAAGCTATTATTGTAGTAACTCCCATCCAACAAGGTCATATTGGCGAATAAAAATAAGGAAGGTATTGTTGAAGTAACGTATAAACATACGAAACTTTTACTGTAATAATGTTTAAACAGCTTTGTATAAAATTTTACAATATTATTAGTTAAATTTAACATTTTGGATTTACAATTAAAGTTAACAAGTGATATATTTCTAAGATATATTTAAGTTTTTACTTAAATTGGAGATTTATATTAGAAACAGATAACTGTTATTTTTGTAACTGCGAACCTACAATTGTGTTTGTAAAGAGAAAGGGATATTGTTAGTAATGGTGGACTTTGACAGATTCATGTTAAATAATATAAGTAGTTACTTCAGATCGTACAAATGATGTTCGAATATAAGTTTGTTATTTATTATAATTTCAATATTCAGGTTTTATCAGAGTAATAACGAAACTGAATTCGTAACGGTCTCAGATACCTTAAAATTTAACATTATAATGACGATAATAATGTTTCTCTAAACTTTAAGCTCTTATTCTACCGTGTTAACATATTGTTACGACAGCGGAGGTCACGCGACCCTGGGAGCATGCGCGCTGGAGTTTCTAGAAGGATCATGACTTATCCAGGAACCTCGCGAATGTCCGAGTGTTTGCCAGGTGCCCTCTTTTTTAGTATATAACCCCGGCAAATAAAGCCCTAGTAATCGACACCTCCCCCGATCTCTACCTACCTGACGAACCTGTCTGTGCCTTCCGCTCACTCACCAACGACACCGAGGACTCCACGCCTCCACCACCTGCCTGGATCCAGAAACTGAGCCACTTTAAAACCATGGCGAACACCGGAAGACTCTACAACAGATTCAATAACTAATCCACCCCCAGCACCAGACTTCACTTTGCCTTCCATACTTACTTCTTCTCGCTAATAGGGCACTGGTAACGAAAAATCGTTACCAGTGAAAGTGGGTTTTCTCGGGGTACTCCCGTTTCCCCCACATTAAATTCTCGGCATAGTATTTTTAGATCCCCGCCGCCCTGATGGACCATTTGTCTGATATCGGCCGTTTAGTTTACTTTGCTCCTCACTTTTTATTGTCTACAGTTACTCTCCCGATTACCTTTTTAAAGTTACATACCTCGTCTGCATTAATTTCCTATTTTCTCATGTTAAACCCATATTCCTAGACCACGAGCTGGGTGAAGGAGAATTGTTTAACCTTCGAGCACCCTTGATTAATAATAATTTCTTCGGAAATAATTATTTTTAAATCTAAATAACTGCCAGGAAAAACGAACGAACCAGCAAGAGAGTGATATGCAGATAGATTGAAGATAGAGATAATCGAGTCAAGCGAACAGTAGGCACCGGAAGTAAAGTGTGTGAATCACTGTGATTTATAGCGTGTGTTATAAAGGTTGTTAAGTTTAAAGTGACTGTAGAAATTCTGTGTATTACAAAGTTGTATCGAGAAAGAATAAAC